TTATGCAAAAGTTAGTTTGCATGGTGCATGGTTATGAGTTAAATGTATGTATTTTGGATTTTATTAGGTCGTAATATTAAATAGGCCAGGCTTGTTGTCACGCCTCAAAACTCAATTTCGAGGCGCGACAGACGCCGTGCACTCGTGAGACGAGTCCCACAAGTGCACAAGGCTCGGAACTTATCACACCACAATCTGATACTATCAAAATCTGAAGATCAAATTATAAAATCTCTCTGATATCATAAATCTCCAATAAAATCTCCAAATACAAGATCATGATTTATTTCTAAAAATCTATGTCAATCTCGAAATGGCTAGCTTTCTAACTCGTCACTTCTCGTGGTTTCCCCGTCCTCGGTTTCACTTCCTGAAATGGTGGACAAGGAAAACTATGAGATAAACTCAGTAAGTAAATATGGAGTGCCCCTTATTTAAACTTATAGCATGCCACATGTGCAATCACGCAAAACGGATACAGTACGGGAACGAAATAGACGTCTCCTCTATAGGTCACAGCCAGTGTTATAAACCTCCCACTGACAGGCTACAGAAATTACTAGTGTTTAACCCCCACTAGTAGGGTTACAGAAACGAACCGGTTCTATCAGTAACATGTCGACATGTGCTAGCGTTTATAAACCTCCCACTAGTGGGCACACGAATAACATGACCATATCGGAGACAAAACGGGCAGAAGTTAACAGGAAAATCACAATTCACAATCACTTTCAAATCATCAGGACAATCACTTAAATCTCAAGTAGGCATGCTCAATTTCATGAAAAGCACAAAACATTTCACTTCAAATCAGTCATGCTCGTGTAAAACGGGTTTAGTCCCGCCACCACTTCAAAAACAAATCAAAACATGCTTTTTAAAACAGTACGGGCATTACCATAAATTTACTTACCTCACTCGCATAAACCAAGCACTCAATTCACGTACTAACTGACAGAACGATCGGGAACCTAATCAAATATTCAAGAATTAATTCCATACTATCATAAATTCACACTGAAATCATCATGACTAATCCCTAATCACGATACTATTCTTATCAATTTCCACATCATCAAATATCTCCAAATTCATTCTTATATCACAAACTAATCATTTAAATCCCCGTTAATTGTTGGCCCTCAGGATGTGAACAGTAACCGGTGAACATTGCCGGTGAACAGTGACCCCGACGTGAACAGTAACTTCACTTCCACAAATTGGCCAAAACACTAGCTAATCTCACGGGATTTTCTCTCCAAAAATCACAACAAGCAATTAACACTCAATCACATAAATCCCACTTCAATTAAGCTAAATCATGGTCCTAAAGCTACCGGAATTATCCCCAATTTTCAGCCAAATTCGGACAACAATAGGGTAGCAATTAGATGGCTAATTTCAAGCTTAAATGGCTGTCAACATACCATAATTCTCCAGCTAAAACCGGAGCTGCAGGGGGGAAGAGAAGCCGGCGGCAGTGCAGGGGAAAAACTCACGGATCTACCCAAAATTGGAGGAAATAAGAGCAATCAAGATAAACCCAAGCTAAATCAAGCTAAAGAAGGGAGATTCATGGCTGTTTCTTACCTAAAAATGCCCAGAATTTGCACCCACAACAAGGGCAGCCGGCGGTGAGGAAGGGAGGAGCAAAGCAGATCCGGCTTTTCCAGCAAGGGGGGAAGATTTCTGGGTTCCAAATCAGGTTCTTGGACAAGAAAAGAAGGCCAAAACCAAGCTCTCTACCGGTTTCCTCAAGGCATGGCTGGGTTTCTTTTTTTTTTTCTTTGGGTGGCTGCAGCGGGAAGAAGAAGAGCAGAATCGGGAAATGGCTGGGGAAGAAAAGAAGGAAAAAGGAAAAAGAAAAGAAGTCATCCTTATCCAAAATCTTTCCCTCTTTAAGTCCCTCAACTTTCAAACTTTTGGCTATTAAGCCCAAAACAATATTTTCTCACACAAAAACCCTTACTTAAATGCTAAAATAGCA